CTTTACCTTTACCTTTACCTTGTGTTTCCACTAAAAAATTGTGTTTCTTTTTATTGAGTATTGCAGTTGCATTTCTCAGAAGGAAAGTCCAAGCAGAACAGAAGTATCATCTCAGTGCAGAATTTCTCCTAGCATATTTTGATTTCTGTATTATTTCATTGTTTGGTTTTAAAGATTAGGGAGAAAGCAGATGTGACTGTTACCTGATTATATTGTTTATTGAGCTTTAGTATGGAGACTGGGATCACTATCCTAGATGTTCTCAAACTATCAACTATTATATGAGTATTTAAGTCCAGATGAGATGAAGTTTGTCTTTACACTGACATTTTTGAAAAAAACAAAAACAAGTTTCATTAATTTACCATTATTTTGTAATGTTTTGGAATATGAATTTGTTGTGTGTGTCACTAAACTCTCTACTAAGGTCAAGTACCATCACCCTATCAGAGCAATCCTCTGATGTATCCCTTTAACACTTTTCTCCTTCCTATTTGGTAACAGCCATGTATTTTGTTTGTTTGTTTTTTAGTTGAATCACCTTGAGATACAGTTACAAAGTTTTCATGTTTGAGTTGCAATCATACAATGATCGAACACCCATCCCCATCCCCCCACCAGTGCACATTTTCCACCACCAATGTCCCCAATACCCCCCTCCCTATTTTAGCCCTCCCCCTGCCTCTATGGCAGACAATTTCCCCCAGACTCTCTATTTTGGGGCATTATGGTTTGTGATATAGATACTGAGAGGCTATCACATTTGATGCTTTATCTACTTTCAGCACACATCTCCCATCCCGAACGATCCCTCCAGTGATCATTGACTTACTGATCCCTTCTCTATTCCCGCTGCCTTCGCTCCCAGCTCATGAGGCAGGCTTCCAACTGTGGAGCAATATCCCTGGCCCTTGTGTGTACTGTCCTCTGGTGCCAATCTCATATTATGTTATTTTATATTCCACAAATTAGTGCAGTCATCCTATGTCTGTCCCTCTCTTTCTGACTCATTTCACTTAGCATGATACTCTCCATGACCATGCACTTATAAGCAAATTTCATGACTTCATCTTTCCTAACAGCTGTGTAGTATTCCATTGTGAACATGTACCAAAGTTTCTTTAGCCAGTCGCCTATTCTCAGGACTCGGGTTGTTTCCAGATTCAGGCTATTGTGAATGGTGCTTCAGTGAACATAGAAGTGAAAATGATGTTTCTTCTGTGTGTTTTTAGGCCCCCAGGTTATATTCCCAAAAGCGATATAGCTGAGTCAAATGGAAGCTCGATTTCTAGTTTTTTGAGGAATGTCCAGATTGTTTTCCAAAAGGCCGGGCCAGTCGGCATTCCCACCACCAGTGAAGGAGAGCCCCTTTCTTCCCACATCCACATCTGCACCAGCACTGGTTGCTCTTATTCTTTTGGATATGTTCCAGTGTCTGTGGTATGAGATGATATCTCATTATTGTTTTGATTTGCATCTCCCTGATGATTAGCAATGTAGAGCATTTTTTCATGTGCCTTTTGGCCATCTGTATTTCTTTTTTGAAGAAGCTTCTGTTCATTTCTTATCCCCATTTTTTTGATGGAGTTGAAGGTTTTTTCTTGTACAATTCTACTAGTGTCTTATATATCTTGGATATTAACCCCATATCAGATGGAGTTTGGGTAAACATTCCTTCCCATTTCATGGACTCTCTCTGTATTTTGGTCACTGTTTCTTTTGAGGTGCAGAAGCTTCTTATTTTTTTGTTTTTTGTTTTTTTTTTAGTGAAACACCATGAGGTACAGTTGTAGATTTACAATATTTTGTGCTTGGGTTTCGATTATACAATGATCAGATACCCATCCCTCCACCAGTGCCCATTTTCCACCACCATGGATAATATCCCCCCCACCCCCATCCCCCCATTCCCCCCTGCCTCTGTGGCAGGGCAATCCCCTGTGTTCTCTCTCTCCTTTTGGGTGTTGTGGTCTGCAAAAGAGGCATTGAGTGGCAAACATGTTCAGTCCATAGTCTACTTTCAATATGCATCTCCCCTCCTGGGAGGATCCTTCAAACACACTTTATTTGGTGCTCCCTTCTCTATCTGAGCTGCCCTTTCCTCTAGAATGCCCGGCTGGCCACTAAGCTATGGAGTAATCCTCCTGGTGCTGATCTCAGCTATTCTTGGGTATTAATCTCATATTTTGTTACTTTATATCCCCCAGATGAATGCAATCTTTTTATGTCTATCCCTCTCTGACTGATTTCGCTTGGCATGATACTTTCCATGTTGTACCACTTGTATGTAAATTTCATTACTTCATCTTTTTTAACAGCTACATAGTACTCCATTGTGTAAATGTACCAAAGTTTCTTTAACCAGTCATCTGTTCTTGGGCGTTCGGGCTTCTTCCAGTTTCTGGCTATTGTAAAGAGTGCTGCAATGAGAAGCTTCTTAGTTTAATATAGTCTGATTTGTTTGTATTTGTTTTCACTTGCTTGGTTAGTGATGTTTCACTGATGCTTTTAGATTCAATGTCATGGGGGGTTCTGCCGACATTTTCCTTTATGTACCTTATGGATTCAGGTCTGATATTTGGGTCTTTAATCCACTTTGATCTGACTTTTGTGCTTGGAGTTAGAAGTCAAAGTTCATTTTTTTGCAGGTAGCTATCCAGTTTTCCCAGCACTACTTGTTGAAGAGGCTTTTCTTGTTCCACTTCACATTTCTTGCTCCTTTATCAAAGATTAAGTAATATATTTCAGAGTCTGTGACAGAATATTCAACTCTGTTCCATTGGTCTGCAGGTCTGTTTCTAGTCCAATACCATGCTGTTTCAATCACTACTGCTTAGTAGTACAGTGTGAAGTTGGGGAGGGTCATGACACCCATCTTTTTCTCAAGGATTGGTTTAGCTATTCATGGAGGTTATTGTTCCATATCAATTTCAGGAGTGTTCTGTCTGTATCTTTGAAAAGTGTTATGAGTATCCTGATAGGAATGGTATTAAATCTGTATAGTTCTTTGGGGAGTACTACCATTTTGATAATGTTAATCCTCCCTATCCATGAGCAGAGGATGTCTCCCATTTCCTAGTGTCCTCTTTTATTTCTTTAATGTTTTGTAATTTTCTTTGGATAGGTCCTTCAACTCTTTAGTTAAGCTGATTCTGAGGTACTTAATTTTCAGAGGCACTATTGTGAATGGGATTTTTTTTTTTAAAAATATCTCTTCTCTTTCATTTTTTGTATATAGGAAAGCCATGAATTTTTGGGTGTTGATTTTGTTGCCTGCCACTTTACTATGTAAATCTATTATTTCTAGGAGTTTTTTTGTAGAGTCTTTGGGATTTTCTAAGTTTAGTATCATCGTCTTTAAATAGTGAGAGCGTGACCTCTTTTTCTTGCCTAACTGCTGTGGCCAGAACTTCCAGTACTATACTGAATAGGAGTGGTGAGAGCAGGCAACCTTGTCTTGTGTCTGGTCTTAGAGGGAAGGCTTTTAATTTCTCCCCATTGAGAATGATACTTGCCATGGGTTTGTGGTAGATGAACAGCCATGTTTTTAACAAAAACAGTTAATTTTGTTGTATATTGGGAATTGGTTTGTACTGTTTATCTGTGTAACACATATGGATGAAACCACCTGGTAATGTTTTTTACTTAGCAACGTCTTTAATCATATCAAGGTTTATCCATGATGTCTTTAAAGGCTTTACTTTATCTTTTATGATAGCCATTAAATATATGTATACAACATCTTTACCCATCTTCTGCCAATGTACACTGGTTTGATTCAAGGTTTGGCTGTCAGTTTTACTTCCAGATGTTTAATCTTTTGATACAGTTACGATTAGGTTTATTTTTTTAATGTCACCTACCTTTAACTAGTTGTGTGTAGAAGTGTAATAGGTATAGGTTTTAGTATATTGCTTTTTACATCCTGCCACTTGACTGTATTCAGTTGTAATTTCAGTTTTTTGGGAAGAGATGGGGTGATGTCTGTGCATATTGTGATGTCACCTGCAAATAACAATAGTCTTCTTTCCTAACTAGGAGTTGTATCTTTTCTTGTGTAATTGATCTAGCCAGGATTTCCAAAATTTTGTTGAGCAGTAGTGGTATTAAAATAAATTTTAAACAAATATGGAATAAGTTAATTTTAGCAAAGCTAAGTTTTACTAATGCTTTCATAGAGCCTTTTATGTATAAACCTGGTTAATTTTACATTAAGAACCTGAATCATCTACCTGATTATTGATATTTTTTGTATAATTTTTCCTCCTTTCACAAAGTAGTATGCAAGTTCTGTATCACAAGCAAATTTAGCTTGAAAAGTCATGACATATGGTGCATTTTATAAATGAATTTAAAGTTTTCTTTCTAGTTATCTGACATTTTCTATTTCAGGTCCTTGAATTTTGTAGGAGGTGACAGAAAAATAAAGTAAAAACAAATGGGGTTGAAAGTGAGATTAGAGTCAAATAATGAAGTTCAATAGATTAACGTTTTCAGTTTTTCTCTCCTTGAAAGGTTCATTAGACTAAGACTTTGCAAGATGTTATGTTTGTATCTAAACAGGTTTTTACAAAAAACAGTAATTTCCTGCATCAAAGTCTTCAGAAAGTTTTTCTCTGTGGTGTTTTGGTATTACAGGATTTGTTTTTGGTGAGAACTCTAATGTTTTCTGCTGATTAGTGGAGTGCTCTGCAATGTTTAAATTATTGTAAATTTTGATTCATTATTTGATAGTTCTTTTATTTTTCTAAAAATTTGAGACTTAATTGTTCATTTCTGTTTACTTGTCAGATCTGTCTCCATTAGTTACTCGAATTTCTTTGTGTAATCTTTAGCTTTGAGGTTTGCTTCCAGAGAGTTGCTGTATAGCTAGCTAGCTAGCTACCCTAGCTAGATGCACATTCGTATATATATGTATACAACATCTTTACTGTATATATATCTGAATATGTATACTTGCATGATTTTTATTATTCATTTCATACAAATATCTATTTCAGATGGAGCAGCTGTCAGATGAAGAAGTTGATCATGGTGCCGAAGAAGATAGTGACAAAGAAGATCAGGACCTGGACAAAATGTTTGGAGCCTGGCTAGGGGAACTAGACAAGCTTACTCAGGTTAGAAGACAAGAGGATGGCTAAAGCTAAACCAAAATAAACCATTGGATTCTAACTGTGAGACTAAGATCCTTAATGAGGGGAAAGTAGAGACCAGTGGAAGGTTGAATAAAGGGTCCAGTAGAATGGTATAGAGATATTTTGTCCTTTGGTGGTGGTTTGATGAAAAGCGGTAAAAATGTTCTCCTAAAACATAGAACATTCTAACTCAATGCCTACATAAAAACAAATGAATAAGAGAAGAAAAAAAGATTGAATGGTTTTGAAGTTCTCACTGTGTACTAGAAAAGTATGCCTGTGGACATGAGGCTTGATGTATAGGTTACATTTTTTAACGCTACTAAATTAGGGGAAAATGCCCAAAACTTACTAAATAGATAGTAATGCTACACAAGAAATTATCTTCTGTGGTTAAATAATGGAGATAAAAAACGCTTGTGACTATGTCCAAAAGACGTTTTATAATTTGAAATTGCTGGCTAGAAAGTTGTTAAAGCTTAAAATTTAAAGACCTAAATTTTAGCAATTCACCTATCATAATTTAGTAAATATAAATATATTTTACACTATAATTGTTGATGCAGGGGGTGGGGGGATCTTCTAAGTTGTGCAAAAGAGAATGCTCATGGCATTCCTGTTCCCAGCTTTGAGGACTTGAAAGTTAAAAACTAGGATCCACCATTGGGAAAGCATGTGGTGCGGGGGATCAAACTTGAGCATTCTAGTCTTGCACTCTAGCATTTTTAGCTATTTTCCTAGCCCCTAACAAGTTGCTTTTTTAATACCATAAGTATTCAGAAAAAATACTTAAATAAGACTAAAATACCAAACTCCTTGTTAATGAACATTATTTTAGTTCACTAGAAACTTACATGTATAACTGTAACATATGGTATTAATAGAATTTTCAGTTTAATATTGCAATAGATTTATACATGGTTAGTGAATATTTTGAAATTGTAAAATTTTGTGTCTGTGTCTGTTTTTCTGGTAGCTGGTTCATCGCTTTTTTTGTTGTTGTCAAATTATTTTACAGAATACTTGCCCATTATTCTCCAATTCAACTTAGGGAATTAATAGGGCTAAAATGTTAGAAAAAGGATTAAGTTTGAGGTTAAAAGAGAATTTTCTGGCCACTTGTCAAGCTTTCAAATTAATGTACTGAGTATTTGAGGATCTCCTTCATATAACTTTAAAAACTAGAAGGTTATAATCTGAACATTATAACCTTTTTGTCTTGAAACAAATGAATAAAGAAGAGAACATTTTAGTCTAATTCCATCATTCCATAAATAAACTACATTGTTTTTTTTTAACTTGTAGTGAGTTTGACCACTGTTTTTCCAATTTGAAATGAATTTGATCATTATAAGCAGTGATTAAAGTTTAAAATCACTAATCCTACTCTTTGTAGATTTACTTAGTCACTAAAGGACTTCTGTGTCTAGTGACCCTTTCCCCTGAACTTTTCTATTGTAAACAGATAATTTTCCCTATTATATAGAGAAAATGAATCATTTTAAAAGGCAGTGAAACCAAAAAACTTAAATTGATTACGATGACTTTCAAGACACCCTGTTCTGAATTATAATTCTAGATTTGCCTTAGGCACTGTAACTGTTTCCCTTATGTAGAGAGAGTCCTTTTTGGGGGAGGGTCGGGGTAGTTATATTTAAAAAAGTAAGTAAAGGCCCTCCCGTTGATCGTCGATTTGCTCAAGCGGGCCCAGTAACGTCTCCATTGGAGACTTTGTTGTTACTGTGTTTGGCATATCGAATACTCTCGGTAGCTTGCTGGGCTCTCCGAGAGGGGCGGAGGAATCGAACTTGGGTCGGCCATGTTGGCCGCTTGTAAGGCGAACGCCCTACCGCTGTGCTATCGCTCCAGCCCAGTTTGAATTTGTAGCCTCTTTTTGTTTGGTGCAGGTGTTGGACAGTGGTAATTTTGAGTCACCAGAGTTGCCCATTTTCTTCAGTTACTTAATGCTTAAAGGGAGACTCTGCTGGAACAAAAATACCTTTGAGTGAAAAGAGAACATGCGCTGCATCATTGTTTTCTGTTTCTCAACTTACCTTTTAAATAGTAACTATGTAAAATTACATCTCTTACCATATTTGTCACATATAAAGGTGTTTACTCCAAATAATTATATTTTAAAGTGCCTTAAGTAAGCATGTATCTTAAAATGGAAAAGAAACATAATCACAATAATATGAAAAGCAGTTATACTTTTCCTTAAGGCTGTTACTTAGAAAATCTTTTTTTTGTTACCACCATTCTATGTCTGTCATAAAACAAGATTTGCTGTTTTATATCATTGAAGTCTGAATTTAACATGACTTATTAAACTTCCTTTTTTTAAAGAGTTTGGATTCTGACAAGCCCACTGAACCAATAAAAAGATCACCTCTTCGCCAGGAAACAAACATGGCCAATTTTTCTTATCGTTTCTCCATATACAACTTGAATGGTAAGAGTAAACTCAGAAATTAAATGTAAAAAGAGTATCCTCTTATAAGCAATGCAACTACAATTCTGGATAGTTCTATATATGTATAAACTTAATTCATTCTTATGAAGCAGAGTAAAATAACTTTCTAGTTGAAATCATAATGAATACAATACTATTCAGATAAAACCCACAGCAAACCTAATTGCATTGTTAACTGCATTGGTAATAATCTTAGAGTCAGTTCCTCTGGCATTTATTTAACATACTTAATTAACTTTATAGTATTTGGAATTACCTTTTTTTTTTTAGCTTTTTTATAGTTTTGTTTCTGTGATTTGACAGAAACAAAAATTCCTCCCTGATTTTATTAACGGATTTATAATAGAACACATTGATTCTGATTATGATCTGAAATATTATGTGCATTGTTTCATTGCAGAAGCATTGAATCAAGGAGAAACTGTGGATCTCGATGCCCTGATGGCCGATCTTTGCTCCATAGAGCAGGAGCTCAGCAGTATTGGTGCAGGAAATAGTAAGCGTCAAATCACAGAAACAAAAGTCACTCAGAAATTACCTTCTAGCCGACACACATCAAAACATGGCACCTTGAAAGGATTGTCTACTTCATCTAATAGGATAACTAAACCTTCACATGCCAACTACTCTCTGGATGACATCACGGCACAGTTAGAACAGGCCTCCTTGAGCATGGATGAGGCTGCTCAGCAATCTCTACTAGAAGATCCTAAGCCCTTAGTTACTAATCAGCACAGAAGAACAGCCTCAGCAGGCACAGTGAGCGATGCTGAAGTTCGCTCTATTAGTAACTCCTCCCGTTCTAGCATCACTTCTGCTGCTTCCAGTATGGATTCTTTGGATATTGACAAAGTAACACGCCCTCATGAACTGGATTTGACACATCAAGGGCAGCCAATTACTGAGGTAAATAGATGGAGCTTGTCTTCCTGGTATTCTAATATTAAAATACTCAAAATGTTATCAGTATAAGGAGAGCTTTTTTTTATGCTGTTTTAATTAACTTTCTGATGTTCTGAACTTAAGTTTTAAAACCAGACTAGAAGTGATATATTAGCCACATATGGCAGTGTCACAGGGATGTCTAAAAAGAGACTTGGATTCAAGATTTGTCAAGCTTAATTTAAAACCAGACTGTAGAAGTAATATATTGGCCAGTTAATGGTATTGTCACAGAGTTGTTTAAGGAAGAGGCTTAGCTTCATTTTTTATCATTGGGATTTCTTCAACTCCTTGCATTAATATCAGTTGTTTCGCATGACTGCAAATCTTAAAATGTGGGTAAAATCTTATATAACAGAATGAATTTTCATTTTACAAGAACCCAAGGCCAGGGATGTGACCAAGTGACAGAGCACATGCTTTACCTTGCATGTAAGGCCTTTGGTTTGATTCCTGATACCAAAAAAATTAGCTAACTAAATAAAAATGAAACTTAATCTCAGTGGTATACATTCTTTAGAGAACTTAAAAACTCTTCTACATTATACCTAGTAATTCTATTTAGTACCAGTTATTTAGTATGCATCATTTACTTCTTTCAGTTTACCTGTTGGGATGGCATATGAGTCCTATTTTATTGGAGATGTACTGTCTTGATTATGTTTAGTTTTGTATGTTGCTATTCCTTTTTTCTAATCAGTATATTTTGAGCTGGGTCACATTGTGTGAGGGCAGGTTGTGTTGTCATAATCAGTAAGGTATTCCAGTTGTGTATTTGTGCACACATATGTGCACTGCTTCTTTTATGTAAAATAAAATCATGTTAAAGTCTCAGAAGACAGAAAGTGAAAAAACCCTACTCTTTAACACTTCAAATGGTATTCAGTGTTATTCAAAGACAAGATACCAGCATTCAGCTGTGTAATGTTTAATATAAGATTTCAGTGTAATGTTTAAAAAGTAAACTAGGAATAAAACAGCAAACAGGGTCTATCTAGTCTGTTCCTTTTGCCTTGCAAAGAGATTGTAGATAAGTTTTAATTGATTTTTTTCTGGATTAAGTTTAAATCACCAAGAGAGCTTATTAAATTGGAGCATTTTTCTATAATGTGTGCATAGCACTCGAACTTTCTTGAGCAAAACAAGTTGGTCACCACTCAACCCTATGCATTTAAGCTTTCAAATTTTGTTGTCTTTTTGTTTGTTTTGGGCCCCACCCAGTTGTGCTCAGGGCTTGTTCTTGAACCTGCATTCAGGGATCACTTCTGGTGGGACTCCTGAGTACTGAGGATCTAACCTAGGTTAATAAGTCTTATAAGGCCTTACCCTCTGTACTATCTCTCCAGCCCTCTAAATGTCTTATTGAGGTTTTCTTAAACACACAGACCCCTTAACTTTGCTTCAGTGTGATTTTTAATGATGTGAGACTCCCTTTTACCAGCCAGTCCTCATGGTCTCCATCTCATGCACAGTCTCTTAACCTGATGTGCCCTAACATGCAGTCATCAGATTTTCTTTCTATATTCACTTTTTTGGAAGAAGAGGCCTCCATGTGAGTGGGCCTCATGTGATCCTTGAGTAGTCAATTTGTGGGACTATTGATTGCTCAGGGATCACTCCTGGCAGTACTCGGGACCATGCAGAGCCAAGAATTGACACAGGGATTAATCTTGCATGCAGAGTGTGCTTGGCCCTTGGAGCTATCTCTCTGGCTCTAGACACGCTTATGTGATCTCACCCATGTGCTCCCACTGCTGCCAAACTTTTCTATCATATTTCATTTATTTGACACTTCCTCTCCCCACCACCCTCCCCCACATTCTAATCTTTCTTAAAACAGCTCTGTTCCCTTAGGAGTTCTTTCTTCACTTAGGGAAATTCAGAACATCTAGAGATAGTTTTGGTAGTGCATAATTGAAGGGTGCTACTGACATCTAGTGGGTAAAGCCCACACTGCTGCTAAATAGTGTACATGAACATACACCTCATGGCCAAGAATTACCTGATCTCAAATATTGTCAAGATTGAGCCACCAAATTCTGTCTGTCACTCATCAGCCGGTTGGAGCTTATGCTGGGTTGCATGATGCTTCCTGTTGACAGTTTCTCAGAAAGGTCAAGAAAGTACCAACATTAAATCATCTTAGATTCTATACAGATATCTAACCAGTATTTTTTTCCCTAACTCCAGGCTCATTGTCCCCTAACTCTAACCACTAACTCTGTGTATGTTTAATAAATAGGTAGCTCGAATTTCACTGTCTTAAAACTGAAGTCTAGAGACAGGGATATGACTCAAAGTGTGGAGCACATTCCTGGCCTATGAGCGCCCTTAGTTCTGACTGGTGCTGACTGTCTCAGGTTTCCCCACCCCATCCCCTTGTCACCAGCAAAATTGCCCTCGTGCCCCCAATCCCAAACACCACCAGGCCTAAGAGTTGCACCATTAGGCATCTCCTGGAGTGGTGCTGTCTTCCCTTTACCCCCTATTCCCGTAGCACCACTGGTAAAAATTTATTTTTAGCAGATCAGGAACTCAACTCAGCAGTTGAGCATTTGCCTTGCATATATGAGACCCTGGGTTTGATCTCTCTCTCTCCCTCTCTCTCTCTTTTCCTTCTCCTCTTCTTCTGAAGCTGGGCTTTTTTTTTCTCATTCCTCCCTGTAGGATAACACCCTTTTGTCCTTCCTCAGGTAGCTTAGGTTTGTCAGGTCACACCCATCTAAGAACACTGAACTTGTATTGTAAGCAATGTCCTTCCTGTGTGGACACAGGAAGACAGTTAATATTATGCTTTGAAACTTGGGAGTTGATTGATTCTGAATAATATTTACTCCTGGGCATCTGATTTCTTGACTCAGTTGCCCTTAGTTCCTAGCACCCCAAAAGCAGGGTCCCGACGAGGGACTGAATGGACCCAGGGCAAGCAGTGAGCTACCCTGGCATCGAAATGGGCCAGGCCAAAGAGCCACGAACTCAACTATAAGTTGAGGGCATGATCATGGACAAATGCTGTCATGATCCAAAAATAAGTAACGACGAGACTAGGACCCTGCTGGAGCTAGGAAGATTAACCTGGCCTGAGGACTGTGAAATGTAATGTATAGTGAGATGTTCTCAGGAAGAACCAAACTAAATTATATCTCTTACTGTGCTCATACAGAATGACATTGCTAGAAATATTAGAAGTAGATTTATTACAACTATTTAAGTAGATTACTAACTGAGGGAAGAAAACACCCTTGTTGGGATCCCACCCTTGGGTGGATCTCCTAGTAATTTGAAGTAATCTCTGTAGATGAGATTTTATCCTTGAGTTGATCTCCTGGAGGAGTGGTCTTACCTCTCTTTGTTGATTCGTCAGTATTCAACCCACCTTTATGTCACCGCCTTATGTGACTGCTATATAAACTAAGAAGTCAGCTCGGAAAGGGAGTCAGAAGCGAGAGAGCTCAGGCTCCAGAGATCCAGAGTCAGAGCCAGAAGTAGAGAGCTTCCAAGATTGGGGCCCAGGAGAGAAGGAGGCAGAGAAAGACAGGAGTGAAGAGGATTGGAATAAACTACTATTGATATAGACTGGCCTGGCCCTCGTTTCTTCTTCTGTCTGCCCTTGACCAACCGCCTTTCCGATCCAGGCCACACACACAGCCGCTCAAGAGCACCAAATGCAGGCGGTGAGACAGTGCCATCCAGTGAGCCTGTGAACACACAACCTTTGGCGTGATAAGATTTTACACCTCCCTTCTTCATCTGTATGATTATTTTGTCCTTTTGATTTATCCAAAAAAAAAATCCTTGAAGTGTTCTGTTTTTTTAACCCATTTCTAATTAATATTCACATTCTGTTTCCTTCACATTCAGATTATATTAATATTTTCTTCTAACACCTTCACTTGACCTTGGCTTTTGCAGTAGTCTCCCAACTGAACTTCATGCATTCACCTTCTCCAGTTTATAATCTCCAGCAACAAGAGTGACCCTATTAAAAGATAAGCCATCTTGTTTTTCCTCTTTTTAAACCCAAATGCCTTGTATTTTAGTCAATATTTAAAAATTCCATCAGAGCTTTACTCGGTCTGGTCTGCTTTTCCATTCCTTCTGCTCCTGCTGTCCTTCTTTTTTAAAATCTGCCAATTGGTTGTTCTTTGCCAGCAGTCAAGCTTACCTGAAAAACGTGCTAATGTTCCCTTGCCTAGGCCTCTTTATTCCCCAGAATTCTGAGCCCTCTGTGCCTTCAGAATTTGCTCAGCTGTCACTTTCTCAATCGCCTTCCTTTAATCATCCTATTTTAAAACCAAATTTCTCTTCCACTGCCTATGATTACTTTTTGTCTCCCGGTTTTGCTTTGTATTTATCTTTATGACTGTGAAACTTACTGTATATTTTTCTTTTTAATTTTACTCCTCTGCCCTCTATCACTTGACTCTAAGCTCTGTAACAAGAGGATTGTTTCCCTACCTAAAGCTTTTTTAAAAGTTGTGATCTATCCTTAGCACCTAGAACATTATTTGTCTTGTAGTAAGCAGTCAATCTGAGCACACAAATGTATGGATGCATTAAACCTGTCTTTGTTTCAAAGTCTGCAATCTAAAATTACAAATAATTGTTTTCTTTTAAGAGGGTAGATGGCATGAATGCCTCAAGTGAAATAATACATGGGAGAAAAAGTGAGACTCTAATTTCAGTTCCCTAGGGGGCAATAGTTATACATAACTGTTAAAGAATCCTGGACAGCATAGTTCTGTAGCTGAAATTTAGTGTCACAAGTACCAGTTATTAAAAACTTTTAATTTGAGATTAGTGCTACATTTTGGGTACACGGGTAATCAGACTGTCCATCTGAAAATAAAATAGTGTTGTGATTCTTCTTTCTGCTTCTTTGCCCTCTGAAAGCCGACAGAGACAGAAACAAAAACAGTTCCATTAGAAACTTTTGTCCTTTTTTTCTTTACCTTTTCATTTCT